TCGGAAAAATGGAAAGAAATGGTGTTTTTATCAAAGAGCGCCATTTTGTTGAAGGAATGATAAATTCATGCTGCACGCCCACCGCCTTCCTCCTTTTCAAAACCATGGATGCGCCAGTCATGTATCATACATCGTGAAACTGGCATCGTTAGCTAGTGGCATGCAAAGTTTTTTTTTTTTTCAGCTGATGAAATTATTACTGTTTTTGGCAGTTTTTTTCGTTATCTTTTTTCAACTGTACGATTAATTTTTGTTATTTTGGAGTACAGTCGTAAATCTTTTAAATTTGAACGCAGGATTGTCTATAGATGTCATGAAGTGACACTGATGTTGTCTACAACCTCACAAAATTTCTAGTACTTTTTTTCATTTGGACTGTATAGATAAGAAACGATCATCTTTTAAATGTAGCCTTCTGCAATATCTGGGAACTGTTTTATTCGCTCCATACTTTGTGTATGCTGTTTCGACTAGCTTCTGCTGTAATAACGTTTCCAGTATTACCGTTCTTGTAAATTATTGCTCGCTGTGCTTTTATCCATGAATCGCCTGCATCATAACGACACACGCGTGCCGTACCGAATGAAATGAACGCTCTGTGATTTCATGACAATTTTCAGAGTGTTTATGCCGGAACTGGTTCTTTTGGTGTGGGCCTGAAAAGGAGGGAAGAAGAAAAGAAGAGGAAGGGATTGAAATTCGCAGAACTACGAAACGTAAAGAAGAAAGAAGTCGAAGTGGAAAGAAGTCAAAGTCGTATTGAGGAAGAAAACAAAGTAAGCTTCTTCGTCCAATCGTCCTGGCATTTAAGAAGTGGGCATGGGAAGTTTATCCGCTTTGGCCTCTAACTTTTCATTTTACATTGCAATAAAAATAGTTTTTATTTTTAATGGATTTTAATAAGGGAATGTACCATATATGTGCGTATCCGAGGTTTGATTAGTGACTGCAATGGGCCTTTAGAAAGACCTTATAAGCCAGCGAATATGCTAGCGCATTTTTGTGCTCAGTTTCCTTTCGAGTTTTCTTGAAAACTTCAAATTTTTGCGCCGCATTTTATTGCAGTTTTCGTTACATTTTCCACCCGCTCTTTTCAAGTCTGTTCAGTAGCCTTTGCAACCCTTTTCAAGCTTTTCACGCGATCTTGTGTATGTGCAATCATACAGTGTGCAGAAAAATCACATCTAAACGAGCGCAGTAGCAGGTTGCCCCTATTTTGCTTCTCTACTCTCCGCTAATTGTCCGTAGTTTTTGTGGAAATCATGACAAATTCCTCATCATTTTCGCTTGATTTATTTATATTTGAAAGAGGAAATTTAGGAGCTTAAAACACGGTTTATTCTTCCCCCACTAATCTTTTTCTCCAGCCAGTGAAAAATTTTGTGGAAAAAGACACAGCAGCTGTTCTCACTCAGTTTCTATTTCAGTTTTCCTGAAAATTTGGAATTTTTGTGGCGTTTTGAGAGCTGTTTCAACCTTCTCTTTTTAGCCTGTCGTACAGCAGCTTCCACCGCTTTTTCTTACCTTTTCACTCTGTCTTATTCATGTACAAATGCGCAGTGAACGGAAAAATAATACAGAAGTGAAATTAGAGTTGCTAACCGTGGAAGGAGGGCCATTTGTTAGGTGGAGTGACCGTCTTGTCGCGAAGCGTCTTTGTCAAAGTCTTCATGCTGTTTGTCACACTATGCACCATAGTATGGTCTATCGGCACGATGCTGTTTGTCAAAATTCAGCTAGAAAGTGGCAAAACTGCACCAGTGACCAATAAACTGAGTTGTGGGGCATTGAACTAAATCGGTTGAAGGTGAAAAGAACGGACAAATTCCACTGTTCCCCCATTTTACTGAATCATAGATAGATTACTGATGACACTGTTGTGCCTACAATGCGAAAGCTAAATGCCCCAAGTACGAGTATAGGTTTTACTGTTGTATTGCTTTCGCCTACTGGTTTGGCTTTCAGTCTTGATCTCAGCTGGTCTCTCTAAAGTCTGATTCCTACTTTAAATTGAACTAAGGAAACAGAACACAGTGACGGGCACAAAGCCCCAGGTAACCGAATTACAGACTAGTCGTTGCCGCCTTCTGGACTAAATTAATAGAAAAGCGGTGCGAAGGGGGAAGAGAAGGGGAAGAAAGGAATTTGCCAGCGTGATTCTGCCAAATTATTGTTTTTTGTTTGCAGGCTTTCAGCTGGCGGCGGGTGTGCCCAACAGCGCCGTTCATCTTTCAAACAGTGCGTTGATATTACACCGGAAACATTTGGGCACGTGTACGGTTTTCGGTGCAGCGGTTGCTGAACTCAAGTGTTCAGTGGCAATCCATAATCCTCAATCTTCCCACAACAAATTCCGTAACCGCTAGGAAAAGAAAAGCATCGGGAATATGCTTGGCAAGCTAGTAAACAAATTCAAGAAACATACGCTCCAGGAGGAAGCAATAACCGGTCACGGCTCCGGATTAACTGCTAACTCTATGCATGGTAGTGCTGGATCAGTTACGTCAACAACTTTTCCTCAACAGCCATCTCGTCGAAGCGCTCGAATCAGTGCACTGCAAGGGGTTAGCTTTTCCAAAAGTGGTTATGCAAGCTGTCTTTGAGGGAAGGATAGGGCTTCCCTCCCCGTCTCCCTTACCCCCTCCCCCCTCCTCCCCTCTCCCCTCCTCTCTTCCCCAAATCACAAAAATGCGACTGTCCCTAATTGCGTTTACCAGTGATGCCAACAACACCAGGACCTCTGGACAGTTTGTGTGGTTATCTCACGTGAAGTATATTACTGAAATATTTTCACACGATGGTCATAGCTGTGCGAGACTGTTCCATCTTGAGGCCTGTAGTTAGCACCTTCTGCCCGTTCGATATGAGGCGCCATCTGTCCAGGTAGCATTTTAATTTCTCACAAGTACCGCTCGCCAAGAGACAATTTTCACCGGTTGTCAGCAAAGCGAAAATCACGTTCTTTTGTCCGTCCGGTTCTACCTTTTCGTTTGGTTGCAGTGACGTCTAACATATTGCTCAATCGATCCTCCGTTAGTTGTTAATGAAAAAATTGGCAGAAACTAATAAGCATAGGCTGTTCGACAGACGTGGTAATTTTTGTTTCGCTTCGATCCGTATATCAGTCGAGAGAGCTTTTCATCTTCTCTCTTGAAATGGTATTTCGTAAACTGAAATGGAAAGGTGGTCTGAACATTATTTGCGAGCAACGCCTGCGAAATGAATAAGATGCTACAGAAGCTTCAGCGCATAAATTACAAAAATGGTCCTGAAAATGAATTGGTGGAAAACAAAGGTGTTGCAAAATTTTACCCATAGCCAGATCCTCAGTCTCCAGTATTGGTCTAGTGGAAGTTGACAGTCATTTTTATGCATTTTTGCCTATATGCAAATTGCAAAAACGCATATTGGGACGACCCTGTCTGTCTGTGTATGTATGTATGTATGTATGTATGTGTGTGTGTATGTTCGTGTGTGTGTGTGTGTATGTTCGTGTGTGTGTGTGTTCGTCTGTCCGGGTGTGTGTGTGTTCGTCTGTCCGGGTATTTCAACTCGGCAACCAAGCAAGTTTCAGCGCCGAGA